CCCTTGGCCACCTGTCCTGGGTTCAGCAGTAGCAGTCATTTTTCCCCTTCTTGGTAGCTGGTGCAGTGCAATGTTTTGACTTTCAGCTCGGGAACGGAGCTGATAACAAGCGATGTTTTGGTTTGGCCAAGGACTTTTTGAGCCTCATGCTCTGCCAGGGAGGAGGGGAAGCCGGGAGGAAGCAGAGACAGGACACCTGACCCAAACTGACCAAAGAAGTATTCCATACCACAGCACGTCATGCGCAGGATGCAACTGGGAGTTAGCCGGAAGGGCCGGGGACTGCAGGGTTGGAGGAGGTATCTGTCAGAGCTTGGTCGGGCTGGGGGGGCGAGTTATCGGTCGGCTGGTGGTGAGATGATGTATTCTCTTCCCTTGTTATTTCCTTTATCATTATTATCACTGGTGGTAGCAGTAGCGATTTGTGTTATACCTTAGTTACTAAACTGTTCTTATCTCAACCCGTGGGAGTTGCATTCTTTTCGATTCTCCTCTCCATCCCTCCGAGAGCGAGGGGAGGGCAAGAAAAGAGGGGGGGAAGTGAGCGAACGAATTACCTGACTGGGTTTAAACCACGACAGTTCTTCTTTTGGCGCCCAACGTGGGGCACGAAGGGTTGAGATAACGACAGATCTGACCGGATTAATAGTCACTCGTCACAATGCTGATTTATTGGCTCTCAGAGTTGTTTTGCTTGATCTCACAGCTTCAGAATGTTGTAACTTACGTAGAGCCGGTATTTGCTGTGATAGTGTTTATCAAGTATGGGGCCTGGGCTAAGGTTCTTGTCTCACTGTGCTTTATGGCAATGGCTTGTAATACGGGTGGGCTCCAGCAGCAGGGCGGGACGGACGTGGCCTTGGACTTGTACCTGGCCATCCGGCTGCTCTTCACCGTCCTGGCCCTCACCCTACTCTCCATCTTCGTGAGGCTGCGGGGAGCCGAGGGGGAGCGGCCTCGGGAGCCGGCGGCAGCCGAACCGGCCCGGGAGAGCGGCCCCGGGGACCAAGCGGCGGCGGGAGCGGGGCCGGAGGCCGCGAGGGGACGGCTGCCGGTGGAGGAGGTCGGGGCGGTCGAGGAGCAGAAGGAAGGGGCTGCCGAGCAGCGGGAGAAGGCGGCGGAGGAGCCGAGCCCCGCGGCCGAGCCGAGCCCCGCGACGGCCGAGAGCGTTTCCCGGAAGCCGCCCGCCGAGCCCCAGGAGGATGCAGGAGACCACGCAGCATTTCCCAGCAAGGCAGAGGGGGAAGAGCTGGACTCAGGAAAAGAGAAGCTGGCGGTGGGAGAGCCGGCAAGCACAGCAGCTACACCCGCCCCAGTGACAAGGCAGCAGCATCGTTTGAGAGTTCTGAAGGTTTTGAATGGCCTTTGGGTATCCTTGGGACCTGCCTGCTGATTGTGATGGGGATCAGCATGTTGGCACTCACACAGACTGTGTTCTACCCACAACCATTTTGTCTGATCTCAAAAGTTAAGCAGAGTGAGGTTTGGGTCTTGTCTGGGGTTAGACGACAATGCAGGGGGACCAAGAGATTTTCCCCAAGGCTGGACAGTGATGAGTGGCAGGGGGTGTGGGACAGTATGGGCAAGTATCTAGTCCACTGGGCCCCTCCAGTGCTTTGGAAGCATCGGAGATGGAAGGCAGCTGTATGGAGTCCCCAGCAACAAGCTGCAGAAACTGCTGAAGGGGACAGTGAATTATTTTGAGCCTGGTGGGCCCATGGCACTTCAGGCCATCAGAGCAGAGATGCAACATAGAGATGGACTCATGATCGAGGGGTGGACTTAGCAATGGACACTATTGCCCAGGTTATTCACGAGTGTGAACACTGCACACAGTCCTGCTCTGGAAGACTGTTACAAGAGATGAAGCCTGACATCATGGACCAGATGGACACAGAAGCTTTATAGGGACTGGTCCGTGCACTAAGTTAAGAGTGCACCGAGATAAGAGTGATGGTATATTGAAAATGTGGGATCTGAGCATGACGTGAATGGTATGGAATAAGGGGTGGATAATGTCCTGGGTTCAGCAGTAGCAGTCATTTTTCCCCTTCTTGGTAGCTGGTGCAGTGCAATGTTTTGACTTTCAGCTCGGGAACGGAGCTGATAACAAGCGATGTTTTGGTTTGGCCAAGGACTTTTTGAGCCTCATGCTCTGCCAGGGAGGAGGGGAAGCCGGGAGGAAGCAGAGACAGGACACCTGACCCAAACTGACCAAAGAAGTATTCCATACCACAGCACGTCATGCGCAGGATGCAACTGGGAGTTAGCCGGAAGGGCCGGGGACTGCAGGGTTGGAGGAGGTATCTGTCAGAGCTTGGTCGGGCTGGGGGGGCGAGTTATCGGTCGGCTGGTGGTGAGATGATGTATTCTCTTCCCTTGTTATTTCCTTTATCATTATTATCACTGGTGGTAGCAGTAGCGATTTGTGTTATACCTTAGTTACTAAACTGTTCTTATCTCAACCCGTGGGAGTTGCATTCTTTTCGATTCTCCTCTCCATCCCTCCGAGAGCGAGGGGAGGGCAAGAAAAGAGGGGGGGAAGTGAGCGAACGAATTACCTGACTGGGTTTAAACCACGACACCACCTTACTGAGCAGACAGTAACTTCCTCGGAAATGAGTCATCATAGCAAACCCTTCTGCAGTCAGTTTTTGGTACACAGATCATTTACAGCATTTATTGATCAAAATTATAATTGTTTCTATCAGACATTTCAGTCTTGGGCAATACTATAGCACGCTCACTAGAGGGACAGTAAATGCAGAAATCAGATGTTTACCATGATGAATCAACCATTATGACTTTTAAAACCTTTGTTTTCTGGAAGCTCTCTTTGCCTTAAACATATTATTCATGCCAACACATTTGCTAAGAAGTCTGAAAAAAAAAACAAAAAAGCCTGAAGACAAAACAGATAGAAAGGAGGAAACACATATGTTTAAAAATGGAAGACTCATTCTTCTAAAGACATTTGTATGTTTGTCTAAGTCTCCAAACATGAGCCATTTTTTCATTTTGCTGAGACAGACTTGCAGCTCAACTAGATTTGACATGAATTAGTGAGAAAGCCCTTCCAAAATCTGCTGCTACAGGCGAAACAACATGTTGCTGTATCCAAAACATCCAGAGAAGTATTATGCAAAGAGATTACTCATCACCGGAGCAAAGTCTTAATTTCAAGTTCCCGGCACTGATTTATGTCTGGGCCACAGCACCAACTTCTCTCCCTGTGTGTGTTCCCTTGTGCAATAGGAAAAGGCTTTTGCCTCTCCTGCAACTGGTGTTGGCCGGGACTCGACTCTGATCCAACCCATGATGAGTTTGCGTGCATCTGTGAATTGCAACAGCACAGAGCTGATCTGAGGGTGGTCCCATAACACCAGCCCAGGCTGGTGACCAGCAAAATATCAAGCCTTGATTCCAGAACCAAACTATACAATCACCTATCAGCTGTGATTTTAGTTTGCCACACTCCTAACAACACCTATTTTGCTGGATGGGTGTAAACTAAACACAGTCTGAATTCCTGCGTAAGTGGAGATGATTCAGGATAGCTCTGTCACAAACCTACTATGAACTTTCAAGTATGGACTGACAGCACCCATTTCTGGAGCACACAATAAAAACTGCAATTACACAAATGCTTTACCTTTGTGGTCTGAAGGTGTGACATGGGGGTACATGGAGAGCTGCGAAGCTGAGAAACAACAACAAAAAGTCAAAGGAACCAAAGGCTATCTGGTTCGTCTTAAAAACAATTCATGGCTTCAAGAGAAATTTGGGGATGGTCAAATTCTTGAAACAGAGGTCACTGACTCTGCTCATTTGCCTTTCTGGCAGTCGGTATTGACAACAAGCTCATGAAGTTGGACATAATTTTAGAAACACGACAAAAACATCATTGAGTACATTCCATAGCTTCTATTCATTATTTATGAGCTTGAAAACAACCTACAAAGAGTTAATGCAGTTGCTGCAGAGGTGAGTCCATTGTCTGTGCTTCCTGCTGCTGGAACCACTTCCTTGTTCCTCGATGTGACCGAGCTGACTCACGCTGTATCTAAAAAGCAGAGTTGCACATCATTATTGCCTCCCACCGTGGTTTAACTGTTGATGCACAGCACTGTAAGCTGCTCGGGGAATTCCCGTCCACCTCATGGTCCTGGCAGATGCCATGTCTCAGGCTTTGTGCTTCCTTTTCCCCCTGCTCTGCTCAATCCAGGGAGCAGCCTGGCATCCACAGGCATGGCATGGGGACACCTGCAGGCACAAAGTCACACACAACGACTGGCAAAGCAAAACACCAAGAGGGAATGGCAAGGGGATGCTCAACAGCCTGAACCCCCCAAGAGCTGGAAGAGAATTCATTAAGGAGGAAGAAATGGGAAACAAGAAACTAGATTTGGCTCTCATACTCCCCCAGCAGACTGGAAGGTGTTCCCAAGGGGACGTGCTGCTCCCTCGGGAAAAGGCTATTCTTTAAGGAGCAAAGAACTTGTCCCTGCATGTTGGGGAAGCAGGAGGGGTACCCTGGGGCAAGAACAGCAGCAAGGAGAAACGAGAAAAAAGGTGAAATATAGAAAAACAAAACTGAGAAAGGAAGCTTGAGAGGGAGAAACAATGGCAGCAGTGTGAGGAGAGGAGCTGGTGACCCAAAGACATCCATCTTCCCTGTGCAAGTGAGAGGGGATCAGGTAACACACAAGGTGGTTAAAAACAATGTCTTTGCACTCTCCTGTGTGTTCTAAGAGGTAACGAGAGATCTTAAACTCTACAGTTTAGATTTGGGGTTGTGAGCCCAAGGAGCTTTCACTTCCCATTCCTTACTGCCTAAGTGAGATGCTGGGAAGCCACAGAGCACAAAGCAATGCTGCTTATGCTGCCATCACTCCTATTTTCAGCTCCATGAGCTCCAGAGGAGTGAAACAATGTGAGGGGAGGATGGGAGAATCAGGCTGCCCGGACATCTTATCACAGCTGTGATTTGCTCTGCTCTAAGGCATCTGATGGAAGAGGTTATGGCTGGGTTGCTCTGCACAAGTACCATTTGGATGTGGAGAATTCACTGGCTTGGGTTTGTGTTTTATTGAGTAGCAAAAAATAACCCTTTGATTTTCTGCTGTGTTGTACAATCGTTTCTGAAAAGAGCTGTGGGGCTGGCAACAGACTGCAGAGTGAGAGACTGCACATACTCCATGTGGGATTGGGGTGGCACGTGCCTTTCGTGCATTGTTGCAATGGGCCATTTTACCTGCTTTTTGGGAAACAGCAGGGGGGGGTCTCTTCCCTGATTATGTGAATAATTAGATCTGTTTCAGTACTTAAGAGGGATTGTTATACAGTGCAATTTCAGGAAAGCCAGCTTGTTTGGAGTGGGGCACAGCCATACGGGTAGAAGAGAGATGCCATACTCTGTACCAGTAACCTCCTCAGCCTCCTTGAGGGGACTTAATCAGGCTCCTAGCTGCGCTCAGGTGGGCTCTGACAAATTCAGGCCCAGCTGCCTAAAGTCCTCCATTTGCAAAGGTATTTTGTTCTGAGACTGCCGTTTAGCTGGTCACTGTGTTCTGCCAGCCTCAAGGAGAGCAGTTGGTGGCAGCTGTGCAGGGTCAGGACCTCATAGAAAGTGTTTTCTACACCTAAATTAGGTGTCTGGACACTTTTGTGCTTCAGAGGTATGCTGCAAACTGAGTGGTGGTGGAGGCTGTGAAGTGTGATGGTGCATAAGGTAAGAGAGCTAATGCAGGTATATTTGGATGTATTTTGTTGCAGACTCTGCGTGTTGCTAAGGATGAACTGAGGAACAAAAAAAGCAATGATTTTTTTAAATTACTTCTGTGGAAATCACAGTGCATTTCTTGGTTTGGTCCTGCTCTTCTGAGGTTTTGTGTTGTGATGCTGAGTCCCTTGTCCTGCCTTGTGAGACAGAGCCATGGCTGTGCTTACAGACTTGTTGATGCAGTATGACCCACAGGGCTTAATTTTGAAGAGCCTTTATTGATTTGTTAGCTAAGAGAGAAGCGATAAACTGTCCTTCTTACCAGCTGAGATCTCTCTGGCTCCCTCAGCACAGCATCTGGGCAGTCGTGTCCTCTGCAGAAAGGCAGAAGTCGAATGTCTTCTTGGAGAAGTCTCAGGGTTCCCAGGCCAAAGCTCCTCTGCTCTTTTCAACAGGCAGTGAAAGCAAAATGTGAGCTCCTTAAGACTGGGATTTCCTTTGTTACTTGTCCAGGGCTGGGCACAGACCTCGGTATGCACTGGGGGCCCGATGCATCACTTAAATAACCAGGAGATCAGGGGCTGCAAGACTGATCCAGAGGTCAGCAATCATGCCTAATGGTCTGCTCAGCTGTATCTACACTGCTGTTTCTGTTATCTGTCCTCAGAAACATCCTCCAGCAGAGGCATTGCTTGTCCCCTTGGCGAGGGACATGACCCCCCAATCCCAGGTGCAGGGAGCGCTGAGCCAACCTCAGCAGCTTTTCAATATCAGCATCTGCTTCACTGGAGTGAAGTGTCTGGTGGAAATGCAGCCCTTATGGTGTATTTATGGTGTGATGCCAAAGGGAAAAAAGTCTGAGTTAAAGCAAAAGATTTTGTGATTGTTGGTTTTTTGCTTTTTGTTTTTTTTTTTATTTTTCTTTCAGACAAAAACTGTTTGAGGCAAATTTGTGAAACAGTTTCACACAAGAGAACTGGTCAAAACTTGGAAGAGAAAACAAAGTATTTTGAGTCCTTTTATTTCCAGTCCAAAACACACCATTTTTTTTAATTGTGTCCATGATATTTATTTTTTTTCCAGAGGATCAAAAACCAAAAAGTGTTCCAGCTTGGGGCTGAACAAGGAATCTCTGATTAGCCCCAAAGGATGTGTTGTGCTGCTCAGGATTTCATTTTCTTGAGGCCAGCAAGGCAATAATTTGGCATCAATAAAAACAAAAGAAAAAAGCTTTCAATTCTTTGGTCATTTGTGGTCTGATAGATCCCCTCTGCTCTCCTACCAGTTTGGTCTGTTGCACTGTGGGACCTCCATGTTTTCAGGGCTTGTGCCTCCAAGGCTACAACTGCTCTAGGAATAGGGAAGCCAGCGTTTCCAGATGCCTGAGGCAGTGGCTCAGTGCTGTCTGACCCTGATACCCAATTTGTTCTGACCATAGTTCCTCCATCACCCAGCATGAAGGAATCTCACCCACTAATACAATAGAAACATTTCTCTTTTCATCTCTGTAGGATGTAGTAACTTTATATATTAATAAAAAAGTATTTCTGAGAAGGAATTTGATCCATTGTTATTTGAAATAGTAGTAGCAATATTAATAATGATGAAAACAAATATTAATAATCAGACAAAGGCCAGTGCTAGGGGCAGGAAAAATTACTGCAACTGCTGAGAACAGCAAACTAGCTGTGACCCAGCTGGCTTCTGCCCTGGTTAGCAGATGCCTGCTTTGCCTGTGGAAGCTCTGGGAAGCCAACACTGCTGGGGCTGCTACTTCAGAGAGAAAGATGAAAGGCTGAGGAGCACCAGTGGCTGTGAAACCTCCTAGCCCTCTTGCCTAAGGGAAGTAAGAAACTGTTTTGTCTACTTGGCCGTGAAGCCTTGAGCTGCTTCCACTTATGCAGTGTTTTGCACTGGGGATGTTTATAGACTCGCATGATAATCGTCAGACATGAGAACAGTAAAACAGAGCATCCCTCATATGCATTTTGTAAATATATCTTTTTTAATCTTTCACTTTAACATAGGTAGTCATGTAAAAGAAGGGTTAACTGGCTGACCCAAATGAATCCACCAGGCCAGTGGCAAAGCTGGCTGTGACATTAGTCTTCATTTATAGAGCCATGAGAGCACCTATGAGTCAGTAACATTGTACATATTCCCATCTTACAGATAAGATACAGGACATCCAAAGTTTTTCTTTATTTGTATAGCAAATTAGAGGTGTAACTTATTTTTGGGTGGCATTTTCAGGGTGGGGGAAGAACTCATTTATCATCATCCAAATATTAGTGTGCTCAATGAAGAAGTAACTGGTCAATACACACAGAGGTCTTTGAGTAACCTAGAGCATGAGTGAAGAATGTCGTCATGCTACATGGTGGGGTGGAAGGGGAAGGGAGTTGTGCAATTAAGAGCAGTGTGTGATGTATAAGGGACTTTTCGGTTGTTGTTTTCTTGTTTGTGTTTTTCCTTTGGACATAGCAAAATCTCAATAGATGTCAGGCATGGGCAAGGCAAACAGCTGATGTCTATTTGAATTTTGGGTGTAGCTCTATATTTGCAGGGGAACACAAGTGCAGAAAGCTCCTGGGAGCTCAGCTGGACTATTTCACTCAGCTGGATAGACTTAACAAGATCAAATCCATGTGAACAGGATGAGAAATCACAGCCTTAAACTGCCTCTCAGGAAATCTTGGTTAAACATTAGGAAAAGCTTTAACAGTGAGAACCATTAAATATTAATAGAAATTGTCATGGGAGGCTGTGCACCTAATGTCATGAAGGTTATTAACAGCAGGTTAGAAAAACATCTGTCGGGAATGTTGTAGGCAGAGTTGGTCCTGAGTTGGGGAAGAAATATGAATCACATGGCCTTGCAAGTTCCCTTTTAGCCCAACTTCCTATGTTGTTGCAATGTTGCATAGTAGTGGTTGGCAGATAGATTATAATGTATAACATAAATACAGGGTTCAGACAGGAGATGTTCATGAGCAAGTAAATCTCAGAATTATTAAACAGGCAAGCAAGAGGAGCATCCTTTTTTTTATTTTTTTTTAATAAAGGCAATACATTTTCAAGGTGGGGAAATAGGGAGACAAAAATAGGCCCCAAAGAAGATGCATCAACTTGAAGATGTTCCTTGTTAAATTAAGGAATCTAAAATGAATGAAAAGTTCCTATCTTTAGGGAGAAAAGAGAGGCAAAGGAGAAGGGAAAGCACAGTTATCATTAGAACAAAACCTTAAAAGAGGAAAAGATCCTAAATAAATTAAATTATACATCTAATGAACACAAACAGACATCTACTTTCAAAAGAGATTTAACCCAATTCTTCAAAGAAAACCCAGCAGTAATTAGTAAGTGCTTTTATCTCCTCTGGATTAGAGTATCCAATAAAGCTGGATTCCTAGAGGTGATGTTCCTTCTCCCCAAATTATAAATCTTAGAAGATGTTGTGTAAGCCTTTTTCTGCTTTGGCCCAATAGGATACCCCTAATGTCTGACTGCTTGTGCTGTTCTTATTTTGCTTATCAGCAAATCAACTGTGACCAGACCCCAAATGTAAAGATGAGAAAAAGAACATGAGGAAACTGGGACTTCACCTTACATGTTCCTATGAGTTACAAATCAGCCCCCCACCTCCTGCTGGTCTCCAAGTGCTTTGAGACAATACTAAAGTGTTGTAATCCCTTCAGGAGAGTGACCTGGGATTGTAATGTGGGCAGGAAGTATGATAAGCAATAAAACTACTTTTCTGTCTCTGCTGGGGTGCATGTGCCCTGGCCACACAGAGTGAAACCAGTCCCTCACTTGTAAAGTGCACGTTGTGCAGCAGCCATGATGGGGAAAACCACGTGGCTGCAGAGTACAGATCTTTATTTCAGGTGACTTTAAATCCCGAGTACAGAGCTCTTGGGCAGAGCAGGATGCAGATCCCTGTTGTAACCCCAAGGCCTGGGGAAAGCCTTTATTTGCCTTTTGTGGGAAGTTTCACACTAGGGCTAATGCGCCAATGACTTCAGCCTGCCACTTGGGAGCTGTTTTTTATGATATGAATAAATATGCCATAAACCTGTAATGGAAAACTGAGCACATCTTGTGCTCTCATGCACTCACGCAACAAGTATTTCAGCGTGTATTTGATTCTTCTTTATGCCTTTGGGTTTTCTACAGCATCCCCTGACTCTGTAAGTGAAATGGGAGGCTGGTGGTCTAGGAGAGATTTGCCTGTGGGGTGAGATCATGGCATGGGGTGTGATCATGGTACATGGTGCTGCCTTTTTGCCATGTGGCAATAGCCAGCGAGGGTTGGAAAGCCCAGCTGGGGCAAAGCTTTTGCAGCCTGCTGCTCTTTGAGGGGACAAATAGAAAACAAAAATTACTCATCACTGGAAATATAGGTCAGGGTGAAAAAATACAACTCGGAAAAACTGAAGACCAGTTCACGTGCTGCTGCCTTTGCGTTTTCAGCCAGTAGACATTGTACTGGTAGCTCAGAGTCTGCTCACCGAGCTGGGTGGATGTTGAGCACCCAGATAAAGAGTGGCAAACATTGCCAGAAATTTTCTCCAGACAATTCCTTCAATCAGACATGCTCATCACTCTTCTATGGGTTTAGACATACCCAGTGGGTAGCTTCTTTTTCTTCAGTTCCTGTGTTTTGAAAGACTAAGTCTGTCTGTTTCAGCAGAGTTGCCCAGGCTCTGAGCTGTCAGCAAGGTTCATATTGGTAGCATTAATCATCTGGTAGTTGCTGTTCTTTCATTTCCTTTTGCTAACTTGTGTTCTCAGCTGCCTTTCTCTGCTTTAAAGGCAGAGGGCCCTCTGACTGACCTGTATGAGCAGGAAGAATAAGAGGCAGCCTTAGGCAGAGCGTGGGAAGAGAGACCTGCCCCTGCTGCCAGCGGTCCTGCTGGTCCCATTGGGGTTTTAGTTACACTTGAGATGTGGAGCAGCTCCAGCCATCACTAACTCCTCACAGAGTTTGGGTGTCTCTGTAGCAGACA